TGTTATAAGTAGGATAATATTAACAGGCATACTGTGAAATGGTGGTGTTAATCTACATGGGTTTTTGTACTGTTAAATTAATTTAAAAAAAATCTATGGATTAATTCATCTTGACTTATTCATGAAGTAAAATCAGGCATCCCAGACACAGACTGCATTAAAAACATGCAGGCATAGATAAATGGCTGAAACTATTGCTAATGCGTAATGATTAGCAAAACAAATCATGACAAACACCTGTAAGGTAAATTTAAATGTAACGAATGAACAGATACTTAAATCGCTAAAACGTGTTGATGAAGTATGTTGATGAAGCCTTTTATGTACAAGATGGGGTGGGATCACATCAGGGATCGCCTCTGAGCTCCGTCTTGCTTGTGATGGTGATGGACAGGCTGGCTGATGAGTTCAGGAAGGAGTCTTCGTGGACTATGATGTTTGCAGATGGTATTGTGATCTGTAGTGAGAGTAGGGAGGAGGTGGAGGAGAGCAGAGGAATGAAAAAAAATACATGTGAAAGAATGAGAGGGAGGCAGGTAGGAAAGTGAAGTTGTAAAGAGCAGAGGGCCTTAAGGTAGATGAGTTTAAATTACAGGGAACAACGGGCAGTGCACACGAGAGGTGAAGAAGAGAACGCAGGCAGGGTGGAGTAGGTGGAGACAAGTGTTAGGGCTGATATGTGACAGAGGGATAGCAACAAGAGCGAAAGGGAAGGTTCACAAGATGGTAGTGAGACCTGCATAACAAAAACTTAAGACTTAAGTCAGATTGAGATCCTTTGAAATTTCATGTTCCAATAAGCCAAAATTCCTCCAAAAGGATATGAAAGAGTTCTTTTTCAAATTGCAGTTATTGATGCAAAGGGTGGCACAACCACCCATTAGGTTTATGGGGCAATGAGTTTTTCACCTAGGACTAGGTAGGTTTGGATTGCTTTTTTTGCCCTAATAAATACAATCATAATTTGACAGCTGCATTTTGTGTTTATTCACCTTATTTTTGTCTAATATTGAAATTTGTTTGATGATCTGAAATATTAGGAGTAATAGAAAGGCATGTCACTTCTAATATAGGAAGGATGCTGTCTTTCTCAGTATGCCATCTCTCTCTCTTTTTTTTTTTTTACCCCCATACAGTTATTCCCTAATTTCAAGAAACCTCCTGGAAATGACATCACTCAGTCAGGTCACCCACAAGCTGAGCAGCCCATATGTTTCTATGGTTGGTCTAAGAGCCTCTTGTTGTCTGTCAGTAGGCTTGCCAACACTCAAGAGATCAAAGATGTGCTTGTCAGACGCATTCCTCTCCCTATCTATCACGATAAAGCCTGCAATTAGGTATTCCCACCTTCCCTCCTCCTTCTCTCTTTCGTCTTTTTTCTTCCTCTGTGTCAGACAGACATCTCCATTCATCTGCTGCTAAGAGAGCTGTATCCTGACAGGCTCTGGCCATTGTACCAAACATTACCCAATTATCCATGTGTGTGTGGTACGATCTAATCGCACAGCAACAATGGTTGTTTTGTGCTGCCGTATCCAGGCATAACCATGAACTGTTATTGAAGCCATCATTCAATAGATACACAGCCCTTCTGTTTTCTTTGAGACATGCAGCACAGATAATGAGGAGGAGGAGAGCTGCCTCGCCTAGTAAAGTGACACCTTTATTTTAGGTCTGGAGGAAGCTGCAGTTTAACAGCAGTAAAGGTTGTCATCAGTGAGAAACTCACCCTTAATCAGCATCCAAGAAATGCTTTTCATCCAAGTGCTTGAAACAAATTGGTAAGGTGCTTTGCTGACAGTGAGATTGTTTTTTGATTTTAAATGATTAGTTGCAGCTTGGAAAAACAAAAAAGGTTCTGTGGCGCAGTGGTTAATGTAGTCAGCCTAGGTTTAAACGATCCCCAGTTCAACACCTGGAAGAGACACGAGCGGACTCCTGCTAGCAAACTGCTAGTGCTGGTCCCAAGCTCAGATATACAGGAAGGATATCTGGTCAAAGATTGTTTGCAGTGTGGTTCTTGAGGAATTACTTCTATTAAAGTGGGTTTCCATTTTTTTGGTGCCACAAGCTGTTGAAGTTAACAAATAGAGGGTGGAAATTGCAGGGACCCCCCCTTCAGATAAAATAACATTGAAATTAAAGTTCTCATGCTAATTCTAGATGTAGAACAATACATCGTGACATTATTTAAGACAAAAAAAATTTACAACACGAGTAAAGAGCATAATGGCTGCATGTTTCTACCAAAAAAATATGTTCATTTCCTTTTCGGAAAACTGGCAGACTTTACCTGTAATACCTGTAATACAACACTTCAGCAATGTGAAACGATACTCTGCGTGCTGATACACGGATGTGTTCTCACCATTAAGACATTAATCAAAACAAAAACAAAACTAGAGCACATGAAAAAGCTTTATTGTCACACCAAGCTTTGACAAATAAATGTATAGTTTCTGATTTCAAGCTTAGAATGTGCAAACTATTTAGCAATGCCACTGGGAGAACAAGTAGTGAACTCACTGTTATAGGACTTATTATAATTTATTAAATATCTTTGTTTGGCAGGAAGGATCTTACAAGGAAGCAGGAAAATACACAAGTGAGAAGTAGTAAGGTACAACTCTCGAATCATTTTTGTTGTTTTTTTTCCTTGTACAAACGCCCCAAAATAAGAGTTAAAGAGGGAGGCAGAAAACAACAATGGGAACGAGTGTAACAAAAACAGATTTTACAGCATCTGCTTCTAAACAGCAGTCTCAGCGGGTTCAGATTCAGCTTTCACAAACACGACAACATTAGCGCTACTGTAGGTCATGTGGGGTGAGCAGGAATGTAAAGTAGATCAAGAATGAAAATAAAAGAAGAGGGGCCGGGTGCTGGGAAAAACCTGGGAAAGTCCTACAAACTAGGCAGTCACATCAGGAGAGAATCTATACAGTGAAGCACTCAAGTGTCTGTGACTTTTAATACATTCCTTTAATGTAAACCAATATATATACTGTCCCTCACCTCTCAGGTTAATACTTCAATGTGTGATTTCTGCTCCCATTTTTATTTATTTATTTATATATATATA